CCCACCTGCCTTTAATGACCTTGGCTGAAGTGTCTTAAATAAAAAGACAACTGAGATCATAGGGAAGGACAATGGCTTCAAATCATCTGGTTTCTTGGTTAGAAGATGGGGATTAGGAATAAGAGAAAAACAGCAAAACTGCTACATGCAAAATAGGCAAACTAAGTATATAAGCCTACTGGATTTATAGAAGAGATATTGGCACATACCAGGAAAATTTCAAGCCAAATGTATGACAGCATTCCTTACACCCCTCCCACCCATTGCCATATCCCAGCTTAATGTAAAGCCTTTTGGCTTCCAAAGGCTTATAGCTATTTTTTATTGTTTAAACAGGTCAACAATTGCAATCATATGTCGACTCCGGGCAACACACAAACACGATGATGTGTTAATATACAGCAACACTTGGATGGAGTTTCTACGATTTTGCTGCTGTTAACAGTCATACGTATGATCGCAGCTGGGCTGGTATCTATCTCCTAAGGCTACCTCTGAAAACTAGGAAGTCTATCAGTGTTGTGCCATTACCAAGAAGCCAGCATGAGATCAGTAAATGAGCTCTATTTTTAATATAAGTATAAACTAAATTTCTGGAAATCATTTGGGGAGGAGGACTCTCACACCAACAGTACTTTGGCTTGTTTTTAAGGCTGCTTTAGAAAGGTGCTGCTCCCATCTCCAAGAAGCGTCCTTTTAACAAGAATTGAGCTGGAATGGGATATGGACGATGGCATCTTTGTAAGACAGGGTCGGAGAGGATCTTACAGGCATATCTGTGTGCAGCTGTCTGCAAAAAACATCTTCACCATGCTGAGGGGGGAATTAAATAGTACAAAGATCCTGGCTAGCGCCTACAACAAAGACATCCGAAACACTTGGCACTGAAGTAATTCTGTTTATTTCACACCAGGGAAGTGTGCAGCTAGGTTATGTAGATACCTTTCCAATGGATGGGATAATTTTGCTCCGATATAAATTTCCACATGCTCAGTAGCCTCCATTATCAGGTTGCGCCTGTGGAGCAGCTACCATTAAACATACAGCAAGCTGCCGCTTCATCTCAGCTCCAACATACATTGAAAGCAACCTTTCTCAAAAGCACTTGCAAAAATGTCCCTCCCGCCATGCGTAAGCTTTAGCTTCCCCGCAGCCTGCTCAGGCATACACAGCGATACCCCAGACGGAGCCTGGCTCACATTTTCCAGACAGGCATTTTCTACTTTTGTGTCACTGACCACAGACCTTGCAAGGCATTAATCAGGTACTAACATTCCCTGTGCTTTATTTTGCAACCCGACCGGCACAAGACCCATCATTTCTTTATTTGTTAGCACACTGGGAACTCTGAGATGCCAGAATTTTAGTGACAAATGACCTTTTACACCTACCACAGCTATCAAACAGTTGGCCTAGACTTAACTGAATGCCAGTCTCAGTCCAGTATTAGACAGATGCATAATGTACTACTTACAGCTTCACTCCTTTCTCTGAATTTTCATGCTAGCTATTTGGTTTGCTTTGTATTTTTTTCAAGTTCAGAAACCTTATTAAAGTTGTTATGGAAAAAATAAATTTATTATTCAACATACTCAATTTTTTCAAAATGGAATGATCCTTTTTCCTTTTTTTTTGGTTTTCATTTACAACTGGTTCCATTCAGTTTGACTGTTTTTATCTTTTCTATTTATAACCAGCACCAAAAAGAAAATTACCATGGATACAGTACATATGCAAATTAGCTAATGGAAAAATATATACATTTCACTCTGTAATGAAAAACTTAAATGATATTATTGCCATGGAGAATATATCCCTGTATTATAATAAAATATCAAGCAATAATCGACTGCTAAGATTCTTTTCCACCAACAAAAATAGCACCATACATGAGATAGTGAGAATCTACACTCAATAACACAATTGTGCAACTAGAAATGTACAGTACTTTAGTAACAGTACAGAGTATTGTTTACAATATGGAAATACCACCACTGTAATCAAAAGAGCGTCAATCTCCTATGAACAACTAAAAAAAGTATTGTCATAGATACACGGAAACAAACAGCTTTCTTTTCACCAGTATGTAGTAACTGAGGGCAGAGCATAGCTGTAAATTCATAGTAAAGCTCCTATAAAATGATACAAAACAGAAGTGCAGGAGTATTGAACAGAATTAAACTTTTTTATTATTATTATTATTTTTCTGGCTATTATAAAATGGGAAGGTTGTCACCATATGAAGTAAGAGAATGTAATAAAATGGAGCTGTGTTGTGCCATCAGTTTTTAATTCACGTTGGTTTCTGATTATTAAAAAAAAAGGTTGATGCACGCTAATCTGTGGGCTGTGAGAGCAAGTGAGGTGTTTTTTTCAGTGCTCAGACATTCAGAAGAATTCCTTGTAAATTCATGTTTCCTTAGGTAGGACCCAGAACTGGGACCCAAATGTCCTTTGAAGTCCAGGCCCTAGCGTAGTGGGACAGGCCACAGGTCTAACTAGCCTAGTATCCTGTTCTGGACAGTGGCCAGTAGTGAATTATCAGTGAAAAATGTAAGAACTAAAATCCTTCCTTTCCTATGCACCTTTCTAGGAGCCTACATTTTGCCTAGAGAGGGTGACAGATGAGCACCGGAAGGAAAAAGGACCCCTGCTATTTAAAAGCACCTTTGATTCCCATTAATAATAAATGCACACACTATTATTCCAAGATAACAGAGAAGCCTGGTGGCAAATCCTTCAACAGCCCAAGGTGAGTATGAATTACACCAAAAATGATCAGCAAGGGGGTGGCATTTCATCGGGCCAGGCCACTTCATGGGCAAATGTTGCCCATTAAAAGAAAACCAGAAAACTCCAAACCAAGCGAAGGACGTAAGGGGACCCATCTCAGCCAAACTGCTGTGAGGTGCCTTTGGTGGCAGGGAGGCAGCAAGGACGGGTCACAGGCCTGCGGTACAGGCAGGGCTGTGCTGCTGCAGGGTACGACAGCAGGCAAGGGGGAAAACTACCATGGTGAATTACCAATATAAATCAGGTCCTCTGGGCTCCGTCTGATCTCTTGGAACTTTCTCGTTAGCAGTTCATCTACCTATTAATTTGCCCAACTGAACATCACCGTGGATGTTCAGTTATTTATTGCCTAAATCTTCCCTGTCACCCCTGCCAGCAACATTTTCCATTGATTACCTGCTAAGTAGTTACACAACCTCTGCGTTTGGGCTACAGGGTAGGAATAACAGAAGAAGGAGGTCTGATCCTGACTATAAGATGCCAAAAGAACATCCAGTATAACAAAAAACAAGTTGGAATCATTTCCCTGGTAGAGAAAATCATCTGGAGCATTGAAAAGCAGATCTCTTTGAGACAGGCACTTGAGAAAAAACTGCGTGCAAACGTGCCTTTGTGCATACAGGCCAGCCCTTGTGTGCACACACTCATTTGCACTAATAAGCACAGATGCGAACGTGAAGCCCACACAGTATTAGTGTGTTGACGAACATTAGCTCCCCGTGCTTGAAAAACTTAGCCCTTAATAAAATGCTAATGTGTTATTCCAGTGAGGTCCTGGATATTGAAAGGATTGTAATAACAAAGAAAAAGTTGCTTTAAAGATATGTTAGGTACTAAGAGTCTTTATCCCTCCTTGCATTGGAAAAAAGAGACAACAGCAACTAAGACAACTTGAGGACAAGTGTAAGCTGCAATCCAGACTGGCCCAGGGGCTGGGGGTAGTAGCTGGGCTTAGTTCTGCACTCATCTCCCAAGAATAAAACAGTAACACGCAGTTCTAGAGCGAGTACAAAGCTGCAATTCATCCGAACGGCTCTGTTCATATCATGAAGAGTGGGCTGTAACTTAACCACTGCACAACTGACCTTGGACCCTGGCAAGGGAAATGATACATGCTGGAGCAAGATATGACAGAGAGACATTGATCCATAGGACTAACGGAGGGGACAAACTCTGCCCTGGGTAGAGCTCCTGTTTCAAGTCTCACATCTTAGAGAGGAGTTTGGTTTAAAGTGCAGAGACATGGAAGAGAGTATCATATATGCAGCACTTGCTAAGCGCTCTGATAGCGTCGATCTGATAGCACCAAACCTGATAGCACCACAAAAGTAAGACAGGAAGCATTAAAACACAGTGGGTAAAATCCTAACCCTTACTGAAGGCACTGGAAGTCTTAGCCTTACGGCTTCAACAAGCTCAAGATTTCACTTTGAATGTCTTGTATCACTGACTACTTTTGACTCGAAAGGCTACATAACCTCAGATGTACACCAGAGCCAAGAGATGGGAAACACCTGTTCACTCCATCCTTCACACAAAGGTTGTTCCAAATCCTGTTTCTGTACCAACCCTATCCAGTTGCATGGTCCTCTTAAAAAAACCCATTCAGTCTCATCATCTGTTTGACTTCTAAAAACTGGAGAGAGATTACGCCAAGCAATCCCTCAGTAAGTTCTACTGGATGAAATGATTTCTGGCTTCTCCCATCTCACATAAATGGTTCTTGCTTAAAAATAACTATCTACTGCTGTTAATACACTTCCATTTCATTAAGCTCAGAGAAAAATTAGGTTTCATAAAAGAAACTATTATTCTGGGGAAAAGAGAGAGAGGAATGGTTTTTAAAATTAGAAAGAAGAGCAGTCCCTATTAGTTGCTCTAAAAAATATGACTTGGAATGTTGGATATAATTGTACTGAGTTTTCTGCAGGAATTTCAGAGATGTTCATCCTCTGCTATCAGTTTTCACAAGCTTTTACAGCAAATCCTCTCTTTCAATTAAGCTTTTCATTTATGTGTGTCCCTCCAAGCCCACTCCACAGTGGGATAACTGTTGGGAATTGAAAACACCGGACGAAAGCCAAGATTAAAAGATTAAGTAATGTCTCTACCTTTGCTGAATTATTTTGCCAGAGGCCTTCCTCCATGGAGGTACCCATAACCTTAGTCAATGTAATCACTTTGCAGCTCTTGTCCTTTTCTTTAATGGTAGCAAGCCATCCAGTGGCTGGAGATTTAATATATTAAAGTAAAAAGCATTAATGAAAAATGTAAGGATGTCAAAATACGATAAAATGATTGGCTCCTTGAGATGACTCTTTCTGTTTGTTTTTTTTAAGGTGGATGAGTGGATTACTTTGGTATCCAGTCTGTAGAATTAGTTTCAAGTCTTATTAGGTATGCTTTGGAATCCACCACATTGTAGCAACTCATCAAGTTCCAGTACTCAGACCTACTAGTCCGTGATTTACATACAAATAGCTGTAATACTCTAAGAAGTAGCACAGGTTCATTAACTCTTCTGCTGCATCTTGTTTGCATAAAAGTCTCTGCAAGTCTGGCAACAGCGCTGATACCACCGCATGTCTTGGCACAGATTCTTCTCCCGGATCACCCTGCAGTACACTGTCCACTGGTCGCCTGTGCACTTGTACGTGAGAGCAGCTTTGGACAAGAAAAGAAAGGAGAAACTAGCAGATTAGCCAGCGAATAGCATTGCAGGTGTGATCAAAATCACTGCGTATGGGGAAGAAAGGGCCGATCTCGCTGTCAGCACTGGAGATCAGTTGATGTTCTTTCTACTGAAATATCAGGCTCTTGGAAGTGCTTACTGCAAGGGTGTAGCTGGACATGACTGCGGGAGCGCCAGCCTCCTCACGTTGTACCTATTTTGTCTCAGTGACAAAAAGGCCCAGATGAACGAAACGTCTAAAGCATCAGCCTAGATTTAAGCACATGAACACCTCACAGCAGTCCGTGGGAAGCTGTGTGCTCCCAGGGAGAGTGCTTTGCTAAGGCACGCTTTCAGGAGTGGCCGTCATCCTTTTGGTGGGAAACACTTTTACAGACATGCAACATCAAACCCAGTTTGGTGGATGTAAAGCTAAATTAGCAGGAAGTAAAAATAATATTTCTTAGTGTAGTAAAAACAGTAGGACAACAATTAGCTATTGGGAGGGGGGGCTAGATGGCTGAAACTCCCTCAGATTGACAAAAGGTTTGTGCAGGGGGGAAAGCAGCACGAGGACACTGTTGCTGAATCTGTTGACAATACCGTTACAGGGTCACACGTGCTTTTATAAAAAAACTAAGAGTAGAGAAACTGTGCACTTGATAAAAATGCATACATATAGCGAGTGCTTTTTATGGTATGTGATTTATAAATTGTATGTAGCATTCTTATGTTCCCAATGATAATTGGGAAATCTTCTAAATGAATATTGTGGCCTCTGAAGTTGGGAAAAAAAATGGTTTAATTAAAGAACATCAAAAGGTGCTGACCCAGCAGCATCTTGAGTCCCTTGTTCCTCATCTCTGCCGGATGAAACCAGGAAAGGCTCTTATCCTGTATATAGCTGTGAGTCTGCCAAGCACCAGAAAATGATGGCAGCAAAAACTGGTAGGAATGTTTATCACTGAAGCTTCGTTCAGTTGGACAAGAAGCAAAAGTCTGATAGAATCTAATGAAATGAAGTTGCACCGTCCCAGAAAAAAAGGAACATGAAGTCAATTTAAAAAATAACTGATTGCGAGAAAAAAATTTGAGTGGAAGTGACCATTCTAAACAGGGGGAGGGTAGAGCTATTTCTGAGTGTGCCAGCAGTGGAGGGGCTTTTTGAGGGCATCACATCTGCAGTACTCCCTGCTAGCTATGGTTCCAACCAGGCACGGTGTTCAGAAAACATGATGTAGCCGAATAAATTACACATCTTGCAAGAACATCTGACATAGACCTTACGAATCTGAGACGAGAGACTTTATATAGAAAGACACTAAGCCACAAACAAGGCTAGGACTCTAATATTAATTTTAGAGGTCCAAGGTCCCTCATAGGTGGTGAAGTAAGACAGGAAGCATGTCTAGGAAGTAACATGGGTCAGGTGCTTGAGGAACAGAATAAACCCCCTCTGAATGGGTCTTCACTGAGGGTCACTGGACACAGATGTAAAAGTCAGGTGAGGTGAACTCCACACTTAGATACTTCTGAAAATGTTACCTGGGATGGAAAACATTCTGGAGTGGGGACAGGCAGCATGGGTTTTGTAGACTACTGGAATTTTCTTCCTGTATAATTTTTTTTGTGAGGTTTCCATTGCAGAAAACAGAGAATTTTGTTTAAAGATAATCCAATGAGAATTTGTTTATAAGCAGGAAGAGCAAAACACTCAATGATATATCTTTCTGCTAATATCAAATACCATTGTTTCTGGCCCTGGTGATTCCAAGCCTGGTTTAGAGACAAAAGCATCCCAAATTACTTGCAGATTACTTTCAGCAGGGACTTGAGCCTCCTCAGTCTTCTAAACACGTGAGCTTTTTATTGCTTTGTCCTAAAATGTGAATTAGGATGGATTTCTTGTCTCATCAGTGTATCAAGGGCTTACTTCTCAAATGAAATGTTTTCCTTCCACTATGCTCTTAGTGCTAAAATATCTGGGAAGTACTCTCATATGTTCTTAAAGAAAAGAGGTTAGAAGCTCCTCAGTATGACTGCATTTGCAAGAATAAAATTTCCCATACGCTTTTAAACATCTGTTAAACTTTTGGGAAACAAATTTCAGTTCAGAAGCTTCGAGTCCAGTCCTAGTTTAAGTGTTATTTAACACTAGACAGTGCTGTTAGAAAATGGTTCTCTATTACTTAGCAGCTCTGCCTTTTCATGTGTATTAGAGGCTTCTTTAGCCTACAAGACTGGCTCTGCTGGGAGGGTGGAGGTTGTTCTTTCTGGTAAGCTCTTAGCAGTGTTGTTTACAACCCAGCCTCTTGTACTGAAAAGTAATGGGAGGCACCGATGAGGCTGTGTCAGTGTAGCTGATGGCTTAGTTTAGCTTCATCTTACTGGTGATGATGTGTGAAATGTAAAGAAACCAGCTTGGTTCTTGGAGCTGTGGCTGAACACACGGGGCTGAAGTTTGGAAAAAATATATTTTTATCCCCTTATAAACTGAGCAAATATGACGTGGAAAATCATGGATTCCCACAATTTTGTATTAACAGGAGCATTCTTAACTAGAGCCATTTCTTAAATACAGCGTTAAGGTGTTTTGGGAGCAGATGGCTTAGCACCATATTCTCATCTCAGCCAGGTACACAGGGGATGCAGGGAGGGTGAGGAGAAGGACAGTGACAGAAAACCAAAGGGTTCACAGAAAGAGGCTGGATGCTCTCTTGCCTCCCTGGGCAAATTAATTCATCAAAGCACATTCTTGTGGCAACAAAAAGTCAAAAAAACCCCAGCGATGCTCTACTTGTCAAGGACATGTACTTTTCTTGGGGCACGGATGAATAAATTACCATACTTTACACTCACCATAGTGAAAGCAGGGTGTGAAGGTGTTTGTGACGGAGAAAGATATGCCTGGCAGCTCCCTCACCTCTGAGATCGATCGATCGATCAATCAATCAATCAATCAATCAATCACCCACCATTTGTGTGCTCCTGTTGGTCTCTCAGGTCTATGAACTGCTGAGCGCTCCAGCTTGGGCAAAGTCTGAGGCAGGGACTGATGGACAAAAGAGGACCTATCCACACCAGACCTTTAGTCTAGAGTTTGACTGGGGGGGCCCTCTCCTAATTTCTGGCCCTGAACAATCCTCTGAAGCCCCACTTTTATCACAATGGGCACACTGGGAGCCTGGGCTTTGTCTGGTCCTTTGCAGGTGACATCTTCCCCCAACACCCCTCACTCACCAAGTCTGGGCGAGGTAATTGTGTTGACGTTTATCTTCTCATTGCAGACCTCTTGGTGGCACTGCCTGTAGGCTGCTGGCTTGGACAGGACAGGACACTCATTGCCGTGGCGCCCGGTGACTTTGTGCATGCACTGGACCACGCGTGACTGGAGGCCCTTCCCACAGGTTGAGGAGCACTGGAGGAGATAAGGCACTGAGACATGGTCCAAGCAGAGTAGCTTCAAAATCACATACACACATACACCAGAAAAATCACTGCCAGAGCTGAAGCGTGCAGCAGACTGGCAGCTCACTGTGGTGCTGAGGACTAACAGCAGGGACATCGTGTCAGCCAGGGACCCTTCATACAGCTGTTGCATTTGTCCGTGATGATTTTGCGGCTTCAGGGAATGCTGTGAGCAGGGGAGCTGTCCTGGCACAGGGAAGGAAGCTGTTGTCTTTCTGTCTGGACTTGCTCTGAGTCCACCTACGCTGACCGTCCCTGTGGATGACCACGAGGTTCAAGAAAGCAGAGATGCAATTCCCTCCACCAGCCACAAAGAGGCAAAGCTGGAAAACTTATCCGGCTTAATTATGGACGAGCAGCTTCCACCTCCCTCTTCATGAGTGACCCAGTGGTACTGGTTGTCTCGGTTTAAAAGCCCTCTCCAAGACTTGGACAGTCTAACAAGGCTTCCTCCACAGACAAGATGACCACTGCCAGGCACTGATATAAGATAAAACCAAGGATTACAGCAGCTCCTACTGCATGCCCAGACCTCTGGAGAAGCTCTGTTCCAGTATATGGGAGAACACATCAGGTATTCAAGTATTCACTCTCATCTATCCCTGCTAACCGTCTGGCACTTGTCTGTCCTCCTGGGAGCAACTGCAAATTGTACTCTGTGAGTTTTGGCTCTTATTAGCCAGGAGGCCCAGCCTGTTTATATGCTCTCCTTTTTGTCATACAATTGGAGTCCCTACCTCTCCCTCCCTCTTCCTCTGGCCCAGTCGCTTGTGATTTACAATGTCCTACTTGCACGCTGTTCAATTTTAATAAAGCAAACACAGTGAGCACAGTGAGGTGCACCAGCTGGAGTTAATAAAAGAACCTTGTATTTAAAATAAAGAAACAATGGGTTGCAGGACTTTGGTAAGATTCCTATTTCTGCTAAAGCCACACACAAGCTGTGTGTGGGGACAGGAGGAGGTGGGGAAAAACTCAGGAGGTATAATTAAGATGATGTAAAAAGGATCACGTTTTCTGTCCTCTGCTGTTTCTGAACAAAGTCAGGGCAGTGGAGCAAGCTCTCTCTGAAAAACGCTATTGCCTCAGAGTGGTACTTCTTAAAAATAGCATGTCAAACACTGAAGAGGCTCAAAAGATGAGCACCACTGAGGTTGGACTGAAGTCCAAGTACGAAGGATGTGTATGCAGTGTGGATGCTTGTAAGACTGGGATGCAGGGGCAAAAGAACTCATGGATGCACGTAGGCCTCCACCTCTCCCATCTATGGGGGAGAGCACCTGTGGTCATTTTGTTCTGGAAGTGTCACAAAAAACCCTGCTGCTTCTCAAAGATCATCTGGTACAAGAAGTATAGCTTTGTTCTGGGCTGGAGCACAGGCAGCTTTTCCTTCCTGTGTGAATCACTGAAAGGCCTGATAAAAAATGGCTTCAGATTAACAAGACCATGTAAAATCGAGCTGATGGAGTCCAACTTCAGAAAATGCAGTGCAGAAATACATTTGCACCACGTGAACTCTTTATTTCTGGGTAGGAGGAGCTGTAGGATCAGCGAAGCCTGTTATCAGAAATTACAAAGACTCTTTATCTAATTTTCTTTAGTCACTCACATTAATGACTGCTTATTAAACAGGTTTCTTGTATTTGGTGTACTCACCAAATTTGTATTTGCTTTTCTCTTAATTTCTCCTCTATATTCCACCTGCTCTTTATTCCTATTCTTTCTCCCAGTGCCTTTCTCTAGGACTGAACTTCTCCATTCAGAACAATCTCTGGCTTGGATTCCTTCTGGACTTTGCCACTAAGCCATCCTGGTGTGCAGTTTACCTCTGTGTTTCCAGCTATGCAGCCCCCTCCAGGGCCTGATTATTGTGTTCTGAAGGTAGCAGTTGTGCTACGTTAAAATTTTACATGTATCCTGGAACTCCTTTTTTTTAAATAAATAATTGGTTTTTTTCTTTACATGCTTCTTATCTCAATTTAGGGTCAAGACACTAGTTTACAACGGATTTTTTTGCACTTAGATTTTCAGATGTTGACTTTACATCAAAATTTGGTCACTGTCTATTAATACCTCAACAATGGTGATGGTATTTAGGACTATGCTGAATGAGCCCTTCCCTTGTATGCCCTACAGTGAGCTATTCCAAAAAGCAATCGTTGAAGTCCGTTATTTAAACCCCCTTCATATCTGGAGCTTCTGCAGTGAGATGTAGGCATTTCATTAGCCTTGGGTGTCCCTCTGCTCTTCCCCAGCACTGTGTGCCCCCAGTGACTTCTACCAGTCAGGCATGGCCATTACATTTGGATTTAAAGTTAACGATTTTTATCCCGATAAATGTAATTATTAGGCCCTTCCACTTCACTAGTCATATGCAACCTCTAATCCTCAGGATTTCAATGGCACTTTTAGTCTTCAGAGTGCTCTACTAATCTTAATCCCCACAAAAGTCTTTGCAAGGGGAGTGAGTTATACATCCATTTTACAACCAGAATAGCTGTTATCACATAGGCATAAAATAACCCATTCAGGCCATGGGGTGTCTTCACGTGATCGTAATACAGTGAGTCTGAAACCTTTGTCTCTGGCTTTTAGGCACTCCCTGTGCTTATGAATGCTCTTAACAGAGGGGGGAAAAATTAAAAAAAAAAAAGGAAAGAAAGATAAAAGCATTTTTCTCATAAGGTGAATAAGGTTTTCAGATACCAATATACAAACACTCACCTACCTTTGTCTGTGTTCCTGTCTCTGCATTTGTTAACCAGCAAGGAGGGCAAGCAATGAAACTTTTTCCACAGACACTGCCAACTCCAATCCTTAGACAAATAACAGCAGAGTTTTTGCCTGAAGCAGTTTTATTCCTTCTCCTGGGAGACTGGGATCATCACCTATGCTATGCAATTAGTTTTTCACAGCCAGGAAGACAGATTTTAACATCTTTCTTGAACTCTTTTGGGCTTGGCAGCTAAAGGAAGATTGGACATCTGGCTTATTTTAAGACGAAATTTTCAACTCTGTACTTGGATAGTCTCTTTCCTAGGAATTTCAATAGGAAATAGGAATAGATACAAAATACATACAAAGGGGGAATTGTTACTCATGCTGCACTATGAAGAGAGGACATCATTAAAAGAGGCATAAAAATCAAACTCCAACTGAACAGCAAATTCCCATAAATACCTTCCCTCCTACTCTGGACAGCTAAATGCATTGCTACAGTCTCTCTGTTCCCAAATATTTATGGGACAAGGAAGCATATCCACAGAACAATTTTCAGGGGTAGATTCACTCTGGGCCCTCTGATACAGGACCCTCAGGCTTGGACTCAGGTTATGAGGAGTTTGAGTAAGGAAAGGTGCCGTGACCTTTTTGCAAACAGAGGAACTTCCAGGCAGCCAAGAGCTGCCAGCGAGAGCGTATCGCTTGTGGCAGAGCGTGGCCTGGGCTGCAGGGGCAAAAGTACCGGTACAGCCCAGCACCTGACCCAGCTTCTGTATAGCTGGTATGGTTCCACTGTGCAGAACGCTGGGAGGCTCCAGTGCCGCACAGTGAAACCGCGCTGAGCGTATTTAAAATGCTGTTGAAGGACACTGGACTTTTGCTGGGCAAATATTGGGTTCTTACACTGCTATTAACAAACATACACTGAAAATGGGAAAAGCCTTTACAAGCATTGATGTAACCCTCAAGATACGCATATATTTTGATGCCGTGGTGGAGGAAAATGATCTGTGGATGTGGAAGACTGGTTTTGGAACCTGGCTCGGAGCTGCATGCATCTCTGCCTGCCACCTGAGCTGCTACGCAAGTACTGAGAGAAATCCCACAAGCAACTTGCCTGCTCTGGGAAGCTGGGGACTCGGACAAGTGGTTGGATAGAGATGCCGGTGTCAAACAAAGAAGTGGTTTTTTCCTTCCACCAGGCATTGCCAGTGATATCACTATCAGAAAAATGCACACGCAAAATTCATGCAGTTTAACCCTAATGCACTAAACTGACAATACAGCCATTGTAAACTGGAAATCCACCCACATGCAAAGATCAAAGGATTTTTCAACACTGTAAAAAAGAGGGGGTTAATGAACAGTTACAAAAAGTGAACCTAATGAGAGCCCTTGTAACTCCCAGTTCAAACACCGCTTGAGAAGGCAAAAGCAATAGGAAAATGCCTCCATTCACATTCTTTGGCAGTAACATACAAGCCAGTGGGGATATCCAGAAGGAAATAAACTCACAAATTGTCAAGGCAGCAGCTGCATTCATCAGCTTAAAGAAGATTTACTCACTGAAAAACTCCAACCTTAAGACCAAGCTATGATTTTTCAAGTGGAATGCTATTTCCACCTTAGGATACTGATGTGAAAGCTTGAAATCTACCAAAGGTGCTGACAGATGTCTAATTGCTTTGAAAGCAAATGCCTCAGGAGAATAGTAGGTATTAAAATAGTAACGAATTTACAGTAAGTGCTGAGATATGGCAGGGACTTCATCAAGTCCCGATCTACAAAAGATAGCCAGAGAAAGAGAGAGGAATAAGAATGAATGACGCCAAGGCAGGGCTGGTGTTGGGCAGCTGGCGGAGCGCGTGAGAGAGACCAGTCCGAAGAAGCCCTGTGTTGAGGCTTAATGTGGACAGGAAAAGGTACAGATTTACCACTATCGAGGACAGGCTCTGATCTGTTCAGGATTGAATGGGATAAGGAAGTATTGCTTCTGCCTTAGCTGAGGGCTGCTGGCTAGGCAGGGATGCATTCAGACCATGTGTCACCATCAAAAATGTCACTTTTCTAACTCCCAAGAGATGTTAGCCTCTTTTGTAAGAGACTTGCTTTTTTTTCAGCAGAAGGTCATAGCATCCCTTCAGCCAATCCTGAACATACTCCAATATTTAGAAGGCTGATCTGTTGGAGGAGATATAGTTCAAGACGACTGTCATAACTAAGCTGAAG